AGGTGTGTGCCACCATGTCTGGCTTGGTTTTGTTTTCTGAGGGAGGCTGGGGAAACAATCCCACCCATAACAGAAGGGAATTAATATTCTACCGATCCAAGTTCAGTATTAACTTGAGAAACCCTGACTGCCTTTTGGGGCTTCTTTGAGCATGGATTCAGGCTGTTGGGACTTTCTTTGTGAGTTGGGTGAGAGGGCTTGTGCATGAAAGAGGACTGGATAAACTAAATGGTAACTAGCAGAATTGAAATGATCATCACATTTAGAACATTTGTACTCAGGTTGTGGTCCATCTCCTTCCAGAATATATATTACTGATGACCTGAGAAGGAGGATGAAGAGTTGAGTGCCTTCTAGTTCTGGGGCTCCTGATTAGGCTAATTTGAGATCTTTTGTATTAGCATTCTATCAGACATCGACCTTTACAACCCATCAAAATGTTTTTTGCTTAGAGGCAATGGATTATCTACCTACCTTTTGAAAAGAATAATAGTAAGAGTGTTTATTTTGTGTTTTAGAAAAATCAAACTCTTGCTCTAGAAATCAGTCTTTCAAAACATGAAAGATGTATCAGGGCTTAATTCTGTATAATTTTCTAAAACAGCTTTTGTTGTTTAAATGACATGTTCCCAGGTAACTGAGCACAAAAGCAGTGAATGAACTTCAGCTCAGCCAAGTGGTAACAATCTAGGACGACAGCAGATCCTCCCAGCTGAGACGTTTTTGCTGAACAAAGTGGTCTGAATCCTTTATGGCTCCTGATTTTGCTTGCAATTCCCTCAGCAGTGTGCAGAAAGGGTTGTTTTTGTTGACTTCCTGCGGACGTACTTTGATGACTCCCACTGGGCCCCTTTTGTGAATTCAGGTGTGCGTGGCCTCCCCCGCCACACCATCTGCTCTTCTCTACAAGAAGAAGGTGAAAACCAGAGTAGAGTGGTGCTTCCCTTTTCCCTTCAACTCAGAAATTTTCTTAGTGGAGAGATGTGTGCATCTGAGGACCCATGTGGCTACACAAAATGCTGGCTGCCTTATTTATATGCACTAGAAACAAAAGTGTTTGGGAAGCAGGTTTGGGGAGGATGTGTCTTCTTGTTTGATTATGTCAGTGTGTTTTATCGATAGGGATAGAAACCAGTTAGTTCTTCACGGTACTGCAGTTTCTGACTTCTTGACATCAGCTGTTTTGATAGAAGCTCATTATCACTGGGTTGGAGGTCAAGAATGACACATTTTAAGCTCTGGGCAACATGATATCAAGAGTTACAGTGTAAGCTGGCCACGCCGTGGGTAGTCTAATTTCACTGTGCTTTAAATATGAAGAATGTTAATTATGGTTGTGTGTGTAGGGTTTGAACAAATCCTTAGGGAAGAGAAACAATTTAATGAATTTTTGTTTCCTTGCTGCTGCTGCTTCGGATTCTGAAAGTAGGATTTGTATAATTAATTGGTTCCTTGTGGAGTAGCTCTTCTTCCTCTACACTCACTGTCTTAGGATGCAGTTAATATGTTTTAAAAAATCCAGACTTTTCGCATTGTGAATCCTCAATAATTACCTGGTGAATTCATTATAGCAAATGGATTCCAAGACAAACAAAATGCAGTCTACACTTGGTGAAATATTATTCAGGCATTAAAAGGAAGGAGATTCTGATGGGTTGCCATAACATGGGTCAACCTTGAAAACACTGTACTCAGTGATATAAGCCAGATGCAAAGAGGACAACTGTTTCTTTTATTCTCCTCATTAATTTATTGGTACATTTTAGGTATACAGTATAGTTACATTCATCACTGAGATCTTGTTCTAAAACTTGTGTCAGATCTTGGTTCCCATTTTTTCCCCATACCCTGCCCTCCCTTAACCCCCTCCACCATCCCCTATTTAGAAAGACTTTGTTTCCATTTTTTTCCTCTTCTCATATATTTTCTTGTCCCTTATTTCTTTTACCCTACCATTCTCACTTTACCTACACCCTTAGCCCTTTTCTTCCTATTTCACATTATCAGTAATACAATTTGGATCTTATTTACACTCTTAGTTTTTCATATTCAGTATTTACACATGTGTGTCTTAATTTATTTCACTTAAGAGTATGTCCTCAATATGCATCCATTTTCCTATGAATGTCTCTAGTTTCTCATTCTTTATGGCCGAGTAGTATTCCATTTTATAGAGAAAACCCATTTTCTTTATCCAGTCTCCAACTGATGGGCAACTGAGCTGTTTCCAAGTTTTAGCTATTACAAACTGTGCCGCTATAAACGTGGGTGTACATATATCACTGCGGTATGATTCTTTTAATTCTTTTGGAAAGATACCTAGCAGAGGGATGGCTGGGTCAAATGGAACCTCCAGTCCAAGCTCTTTGAGGTATCTCCATATTGATTTCCATAGTGGTTGCACCAGTCTGCACTCCCACCAACAATGGAGAAGGGTTCCTTTCTCCCCACAACCCCACCAACATTTGTTATTGGTTGATTTCTTTGTGGGGTGAGGTGGAACCTCAGTGTTGTTTGCATCTGCATCTCCTGAATGACCAGTGAAGTGGAGCATTTTTTCATATATTTATTTGCTGCTTTTACTTCTTTGTCTGAGAAATGTCTGTTCATTTCAGATGCCCATTTTTGAATCTGGTCTTTATATCTGGGGGGCTTGATTTTTTTTGAGTTCTTTATATATTCCAAATAATAGTCCTTTGTCTGAGGAGCAGCTGGTAAAAATTTTTTCCCATATTGTAGGTTGTCTCTTAGTTCTGTTGATGGTTTCTTTTGTAGTGCAGAAGCTTTTTAATAAGATGAGATCCCAGTTGTTGATTCTTTGTGCTAGTTCCTGTGCTCCTGAGGATTTGTTCATAAAGTCTTTTCCTATGCCAATGTCTTCCAGAGTTCTGCCTAACGTATCTTCCAGCAAGTTTAGAGTTTCTGTTTTAATATTTAGATCTTTAATCCACTTGAATTTTAGTTTAGTGTGTAGTAAAAGATAGAGGTCTAGTTTTAATCTTTGGCAGGTTGAAATCTAGTTTTTCCAACACCATTTATTAAAGAGGCTATCTTTCCTCCAGTGAGGATGGTTGGCTCCTTTGTCAAAGATGGGGGAGCTGAGTACATCTGGAATTGTTTCTGTATCTTCCAATCTATTCCGCTGATCCTCTGGTCTTGTTCTTTGCCAGTACCATGCTGTTTTTATCACAGTGGCTTTGTAGTACAGTTTCAAGTTGGGGATTGTGATACCCCCTGCTATGTCTCTTTGCCTCGAATGGGTTTTGCTACTCTGGGTCTCTTCTGGTTCCAAATGAATTTTTTGATCATTTTCTCTAGTTCTGTGAAATATAGTGTTGGACTTTTAATTGGTATTGCATTGAATCTGTATAGCAGTTTTGGTAGTATGGCCATTTTCACTACGTTGATTCCTCCTACCCAGGAGCAAGGAATATCTTTCCAGTTTCTTATATCCTCTTTGATCTCTTTTTTGAGAGTGCTGTAGTTTTCAGTGTAGAGGTCTTTGGCTTCCTTTGTTAGATCGATTCCTAGATATTTCATTTTTTGGATGCTATTGTGAAAGGAATTGTTCCCCTAATTTCTCTCAGTGAATCTGTTATTTGTGTACACGAAGGCTATTGATTTTTGAGTGTTGACCTTGTATCTAGCTACTCTACTGAATCTGTCAATTAAGTCTGGAAGTCTTTTGGCAGAGTTTTTTGGGTCTTCTATGAAGAGTATCATATCAGCAAATAATAACAAAAACTGTAGAGTTTTTACAGTGTATATTCTATCATAACAAAAAGGTTTTAAAATTGATTGTAATGCAGAAGGGTATATGAGATGTACACCTAAGCTAAGCTAATAAAACTGCTTGTGGATTTTTTTTCTGTGAATCTACCCCTAGTCAGAAATAAAGAAAACCTTTCCTCTAGGCTGTTACTAGAACTATAGCTTCAGACAAAGGTGTCCCAATTCTCACTCAACTTTTTGTTGGGAGGAGTAATACTACTTATGGAAAGTAAGTATCTCAAAGGATATAATCTATTAATTTTTCCAAAAATAATCGTTTTTAATTCCTGGGTCAAACCAGAAGGTCAGATTGCTGTGTGTTTGGCCAACACGCCTTGTTTTTCCCTTGCTAAATCACTTTAGTGATTTGTGTTTTTGCATCACATCTCACATGAGGCAGAATCCCTTGTAGGGAACCTTAGCTTTTTTTTCTTAGTGCTTTAGCTAATTGAATGAGGCCTACCCACATTATGAAAAGATCTGCTTTACTCAGAGTCTGCTGATTTATATGTTAATCACATCTAAAATATATCTTCACAGCAACAGCTGAACTAATGTTTGACTAAACAACTGGGAATCATTGCATTGCCAAGTTGACACATAAAATTAACCATCACAGATAGGAATACATCTATAACAGACTTTTTAAAAAATTGGGCTTAATTGTTGTATTTTTATATTGGCTTATTTGAGTGCATACAGGGAAAGAGTCCAAGTCCCTCCTACCTCCTCATCTGTGTTCAAGTCTCATGCTGTCATTATTTCATCAGCTAGTAGGGCTATCTTCCAACCAAGGTTGGTTAAATGATATAGAGTCTTCATTGTGGATATGTTGAACGTGTGGATGTGTGAATGCTACGGCCTGCCAAATCCCCTATATAAGTCAGTGCTACAGAGAGTTCTGCCAGCCCTTTTGTAAACAGCCATTTTTGTGGAGGGATATGATGAGGTATATGATTTCACCAATTATTACCATTCCTAATTAGACTGAGTCCAGGTGTGTTTCTAAAATGTTAGCTCACTCATCTCTATAACACTGACGGCCCCACCTTGATATCATTCCAGGGATTTTATGCATTTGCCTTGGTTCAATTGATCACATTGTTGCTGTTCTGTTCTGCAAGGTCTTCAAACATCTGGAGACCTGCTTTTGGCTAGGAAACATTCTAGTTGTTGGGGAATGTAAGTCATCAGCAGCAGTAACTCTTAACTTTTCTTTCTTTTGGTAGGCTGAGTACATTGGGTGCAAACTTCCTCACTGTTTCACAGTGGAGCCTGACAGCCATGCGCTCTTTCTTAAGGTAAGGACTGCAGCTGCAGCTCTCAGATTCTCAGTGGGGAGCTCTGGGGTAAGTTGTTGGGGATCCATGTGGACTCTTGAATATTGGAGGAGTCAGTACTTTCTCCATCTTTTGGGAAGTTTGTTAGTTTTCTGTCTCCTTATAACCACTCATTGCTCACTGTTGTACTAGGATTTGGTAGCCTGGCTTGGATTTATAAGGTTTTTGGTGAATCTAAGGAGGGAACCTCCAAGGCCAGGAAATGGTTAGCAAATGAATGACTTCTCTGTTTACCAGGACAGAGAGAACCTACCCAGAGTAATCTTCCCATTGCCTGGGATGAAGGTATGTAGGGGTTGGGATGACGCTCAAAAGTGTATCAGATGAAATACGTTGCTTACTTGTACTTAGTACATACAGGTACTAATTACTGAATATTTGTAATCCGAAGACACTTAAATGTTAAGGCTTAGAAAATATATATTCACCCAAAATAGGATGAGACTGTTTCTTAAACAAAGAAGAGATGGTAGCATAGATGTGGGCACATGTAAAGTTGTGTGTTTTAATGGTGATTTGTTACTTCATTCATTTCACCTTTTGACTTTGAGTGTAGAGGTTGACCAGATTAGACTATTAGGTCTGTCTCTATTTTCCCAGGAGAAAAAAAAAATCAGATCATAGATTTAGTTTGCTAAGGTCAGGCTGCAGATGCCAAGGAATGCCTTCATGAGGCTGTGGGGACTGACCCTGTCTGCTGAGTAATCCTTTCCCTGAGTATCAGCGCTGTCAGCTCTCAGCCCAGAGGCTCTACCTTGCAAGCAGACCTCCCACCTTGTACCTAATGGGTGGAAATGAGGGAACAAGCACCAAAAGGAAATTGTCTGCTATTGTGAGCTGATTGGGCTATGGCCATGTTTACATTCCTGTTTCTTGTCAAAAGAGGGAATTGAATTATTATTTATTATCATCCACGTTTGTTAATGGTAATTGTATGTTTGAAGACAAAGCAGAATTCTGTAAAATATCTACTCAGATGCCTTACTCTTTGCTTTCATAAATGGATGACATTGTACTACCCTAATTAGGCCAAAAACCAAGTAGGAGTCTGTATATTATCAACACTACTCTCCCCAGGGCATATTGGTGGTGTGTGAGCAGTTACTTCAATTTAAGAGTCTGCTATTAACAAACCTAAAGAACATGAAGACCCGAGGAGTGACCCACCAGCTGTGAGACAAATAGAGCCCTGGGGGTCATCTTCCATGGCCAGGTGCTTAATTTTTTGTTAGTAAAAGTATTAACCACAGTAGTGGACTGGGAATGTAATGATTGTAGTGACAATAATAACAATGGTGCAAAAATCACAATTTTAATATTAATCATCACCATCCTGAAAGCTAATATTATTGGCCTCTACTTTTGGCCAAGCACCAGATTAGGCATTATATATGTGTTATCTATCTAAATCTGCATGCTATTTCTGGTTGAGGAAATAGTTGAGGAATCTGAGGTTTTAAGAGATTAGAGAAGTTGACCAAAGTTAGACAGTCAAGTCACAAAGGAGCAGAACTGGGATGTAACCCATGGAGGAACACAGAACAGGGTCCAGCCACTGTGGATATTTATGTATTGTGCTTGAAATTATATATAAATGGCACAGTTCTTTATTGTATTGACCAACAGAAAACTGAAGGAACTTAGGGCTTCTTGCATTCCTGGGGCCACATACCTGGACCATGATGACATGGCTAATTCAGGCTGGCTCCCTTGATTCTTACCTGGTTTGTTCATGCTCTGAAACTATTGACCTACATCAGTGTACAGTCTCTAAGATCTATGGAATAAAACTGCTTCTAAAGAAGCCAGACTTGTCATTTCTAGCCCTATATTCTTACATAGATCCAAAGGAGCAAGATCTTTCAATCCTACCACATTTCCCCACAAAGAATTACCTTGGTACAATGATCTTACCTCTTTCTTCCCAGGTTTGATCATTAGCTGGCCTTAGCTTTTTCCAAGCAGTGAGAATAGCTTGGAAGATCCGTGTAGTGGGTGGTAAACTTGCTGGTAGCTAGACTGTCCTGGTTTCACATACGTGTGTTTGTATTTTAAGTGCTTTTGATAACAAAGCCTCATTGTGCAGGCTATTAGTTGTCTGTTGCATAAGAAATCACCCCATATTTATAGCCTATAACAACCATTTTATTTGCTTTTGAGTCTGTGGATCAGCCATTTGGGCTGAGCTCAACTCAGTGGCCATTTAGTCAGTCTCACTCATACCACTGCATGTGGCCAGTGCCTGGGAGCTGCTTGGTCTAGGGACCACAAGTGGCATAACTCATCTCATTCACATGGTCTCCAGGAGGCTGGCTTTGATACAAGAATGATATGGGGCCTCCGAATGATATATGGGAAACATTATAACTCTCAACCTGCTAGAAGTCAGGCTGAGTTTGTGTTCCCCCAAATTGAAGAATGAATTCTGAGGAACAAAGGAGGAAAAATTTATTGAGAGATATAGCTCCTGAGAGGAAGGGGGCTCCCAAATGTTTGCCAGGGACTCCACTTCACAGGGGAAGTTTTATAAAGCATGACATGTGTTAAAGCTATGATCAACCAATAAGGTTATGAGTATAATCACTTAGGTAATATTGGTTCAGTAGTGGGGAGCAAGTCATACAGCAAGTGTACATGGAACGAACAAAGAACTCTTTAAGAAGTGACCAAGGGGCTTGGTCACTATCCAGGTGACTGATGTCCATCTAGACTTCATTGGACCAGGTGTTGTCACTTATCTCATCCCTTGTGGATGTATGTAGGCCTGGTCATTTCATCTTTATCTGGAGGCCTGGACTCCAACAGATGCACCTCTGGCCACAGTTGTAATGTGTTTTCATCTTTTGTACTGACTCTCTCCAGGGCCCAGCCCTATCTGACTGCCTGTAATATTGCTACCTGATTTAGCTGTCTATAATATCTTGAACTCCTTCACACGACAGAAGGAGTGAGCTGGAAGCTTAGACTCAGAAGTCAAACTGTTCCACTTCTACCTCATTCTGTTCATAAGAAAGAGTCATAGTGCCAGGACAGATTCAAAAGAAGGTGGCTGGAAATAGACTCTACCTTTTAATGGTAGTAGGTACAAATAATTAATGACTATTTAACATTTATCATAGGCTCTTAACTCTGATATGAAAGCAATCTGAAATTATTTCATTTTAAAGTTATTTTATATTTAAATAATCCTGAGATAGGGATGATCCTAGTAAGAAGAGAAGCCTGGAAAACAGGCTGTAGTCATGAACCCAAAAGATAATAATAAACATAATAACAGCAAAGAGTAATATTTTTCTTATTAAATGGTAAGCACTGTTTCAAGTCCTTTACATTAACTCATTTAATCATTACAAAATCTTATGAACAACAATTAAGAGCTATTATTTTTATTGCTGTTCTATAGGCAAGAAAATTGAGGCACAGAGAATGTTAAGTGACTCCCCCAAAGTTGTATAGTTACTAGTGGTGGAACTGGGATTCCACCAAAGTTTCAGGCTACCGAATCTGGACATTAACCCCAAGTGTATCTCAAGTTAATGGTAAGTAAATCTTCCTGAGTCTTAGCAGAATTCTCTTTTGGACTGCGTAGTTTTTGTAGAGATAACAGGATTAGCTGTTTGGCAAGAGTCACTAGGCCTTTCTGGGTACAATTATATGAGCAGAAATGGGTCTATTCACATTGTAGGAGATCTTTTGGGAGTCATAAAGATACTTGTGAGCCCACAGAACAGTGATTCTCTTGGGCCCAACAGTGTCTGCTGGGCTGGAGGGCAGACCATTTTCTTTTGCTGTAGAAGCATCTGAAGAATGAGAATATTTGATAATGCCTTCTATAGCCTTTCAAGTAGCCTCTTGTTTTGGGCTTCAGTCAGAAAGATGCAGCCTCAAAGCAAAGCATGTTGTGTTTATTTAGCTTTTGTTTAAGGACTACTCCAGGGAAAGGGTGGGTCGACAGCCTTCTTATATAGTATTTGTAGAACTAAATTCAGTCCAACCTCCAGATAGTCAGGTGGCTTACCTGAAGAAAATTATGAATTTTTTGATATTTCTGAGGTCATTCTTCCTGATGTGGATGAAGTGGCCCCTAGTACTCATATCTTAACAATGATAGCCCTTGATGTTTTCCTCAGTTTGAGTGGTATGGAATGTGTTTAGCAGCCAGGATTACATTTCTTTTTTTTTTTTTTTTTTTTTTTTTTT